GAGGGTCAAAATTGTGATGACATGTCTTCGGATCATCCTCAGGGTTGTTTCCCAGACCGTCGCCAATAGCCTATTGTGCAGCTCTACTGCAGCGTAAATAAAGTACCTACCTATCATAGAAGTGTATAGAATACTTTAGATGCTCAAATTTTGACAGTTTGTTTTTTAATAATTTTTGCATTTAATTACTTTACTAAAAGTTTAATGAAAATTCATTCAAAATGTTTAAAAATATTTTTTAATGTTTTCAATACTTTTGCATTTTATATGCTTTTATTTTTGTCTTTAATTACCGAAAATTGATTTTGATAATTTTCNCGGAACACTATCACATCTATTATACATATATTAAGGGCGGTGGGAGCTAGATTTCACAGAGAAAAACTAATTAGATTTGTTATTATGAGAATTGTGGATAAAGTCTAAAGAAGAAATCAGTCAGGGGTTGCCTGTGGGTGGGTGGTTTAACCCCAACCGTTTGACCCCGGATGTGTACTGTAATAAAAAGGGAAACTTAACGGGAATCAACTGTGGTAAAAGAAACACGGCGGCGCCAACTAAGAGGGTTAACACCCAACCCGAAAAAATCATTTGTCTACCTTTAATATGGATTAAGGGTTCAGCTGCAGACACATGTCAAACTGACTCACGATAATGTTGATACTTTATCTTAGTTAGTCAGCTTATGAATATACAAAGGCAACATGGGTTGCAAGAAAAAACAATAGTTTAGGGTCACTGAGCTTCACACTGAGTCAAGAATATCCTCAGAAAAGGAACAATTTTCTGCAAATTTAAATTAATTTCGTTACAATTGAAGTCTAGTATCGTTTATACAATTTAAATTTACAATTAATGCATAGAATTGTATGTCCCGCATCGGACTGATAGTAAAGACACGTTTCCCAGTAGAACACTGAAGTCAAATATCACTGGCGGCTGTCAGTAAGCGGGTGGGTGATCAATTCGATCGGCCAGCGTAGGGACCGAGAGTACTCGGTATGGGTCCTCCTTAAATTGTTCTACCGTAAAGTGCTCGACTTCGTGAGCAGGTCGTCGGCTTACCAAAGCAGGAAGGAGAGCCATACCTTCTGCAGAGGGTCAAAGTTGTGATGGCATGTCTTCGGATCATCCTCACGGTTGTATCCCAGACCGTCGCCAATAGCCTATTGTGCAGCTCTACTGCAACGTAAATAAAGTACCTACCTACCATAGAAGTGCATAGAATACTTTGGATGCTCAAATTTTGACAGTTTGTTTTTTAATAGTTTTTGCATTTAATTACTTTACTAAAAGTTTAATGAAAATTCATTCAAAATGTTTAAAAATATTTTTTAATGTTTTTAATACTTTTGCATTTTATATGCTTTTATTTTTGTTTTTGATTACTTAAAATTACTTGCTACGTTACGAAAATTGATTTTGATAATTTTCATATAGGAAAAATCTCACTACGTTGGTAATTTTTAAAACAATTTTAAAAACTTTTTTGCACATTCAATTGGAATAAATTCCAACTTTTTTTTAAATTTATATAAAAAAAAGCTTTAAAAAAAAGAAGTGTAAAGAAATTTATTTGATTTTTTTCTTAGGTAGATACTGTCACTTCATTATAAACTTTAAAACAACTCACAAAAACTGGATTTTTCGAATTTATACAAGATTTAAGGCAATGGATGGTTATGACAATTTTCGCCAAATTCATAAAACTAAGCGTTATTATCTCCAAAATAAATATAGATAAATTGTTAACATTTATAGTTCTACAAATATACGTATCTCGCTTTTCTAAAAAAAAGTAAAAACTGCACCTCTCCATATAAGTTGAAAATTGAAAATTTCAACATCACACATTACAGGAGAATGGTCCGTATTATCTTTTCATAAAGAATAGAATGAACAAATAACTTAAATAAATATTAAACTTTATTAAAAATTGGCAATTTAGAGAGGTTTGTCTGCTTGGATGGAAAAAAAAATTAATTTTTAACTATCAATTTTTGCAAATTTTTATCAACTTTGATAACGTAGAGCTACCGTGACATTTCAAAGATCAAAAAATTAAATAACACACTCTTTCATTTTCTCAAAACTGTAGCTTTCCTTCATATTAACGGTTAGCGTAATTTAACAGAGAGGGCGCTGGTTAAAGATAAGCAAAACTTAACCTAATATACATGACAGTTGAAAAATCGCAGCAGATACGAAAATAGCATATTATTAGCATAAAAACATCATTCCATGTGACGACATTTGAAAAACAGCCAATTAAACAATCCTATAAACTAAGTTTGACGGGGAAAAAAAGAAAATATCACAGTGGTACCTCGATTAGATCGTGAGTTCCATATTTACCTAAAGAAGGCAAATGAGCTCCAAGCAGCTGTTGTGGAAGGGCATGCCAAAGATGTTTAATAAAAATCAGCTTTCGAAGGTGTCAGTTGTTATGAGAACATCTTCTATTGAACACAGTCTTACTTAACATTTGGCAGAATATAAATTTATGCAATTTATGGCACATTTAACATGCTCTCACTTAAAAAAAGTGAAAATATTAATAAATGAATCTAATGATGTACAAAAAAAATACTGAATGGGCGGATACAATTTTTAATAGACATAGGAGAGAGAAAATATTATTTCCAATTATTATTTTTTTCTTTTCACTTTTGCGATGACCTTCGTTATATCGCGCATTCGGATCTATAGCGTTTTTCTCCCATGCATCTCAACCATATTACCACCATATACCGAAGAAAAAAATTATAATTTTGCACTCAATTCTTTTAGTGGATTAATGGCCTAATTTAACGAAGTATAATATAATTTCATTTACGTGTTAGTAAACTGTGTGTTTTTCTGATATAGACTGATGGCAAAATATATTCACCACCTCTTTTTTATTCACGAGTTACAGCCATCAAATGATGCGATTACAGTGATTGACAAAACAAAGCTCCTTATTCAATCGAACTAACTGACAATCCGATATGGAATGGACCACTAATTTGTTTAGCCATTTTATGATTAGATGCGGTAATAAGACATCTGATTTGAAGACCACACAGATGATGAGAATTTGATACTTACATACCATCTTTAAAGTCGTGACACGAAAAAAAAAATTTAAAAAAAAACTCAATCGCATTAGTTAGTATTTCTTATGCAAAGTTAGAGTGACAGTTATTATCCTCTATTAATAAAAAATTATTAATTTCAAATCTAGTGTTTTTTTTTTTTTAATATTGTAGATGAATGAAATCAGACTTGAAAAAATCAACTTTTCGGAAAATTTTATCAACTGAAAGTTGAATAGATAATTAATTATGCTCGCCCCCTGCTCGTCAACCCCGAAAATTGCATAGCAATTTTCGGGTGTTGGCGGGCAGGTTTACGCAATTGCAACCGGTTCTCAGGTTTACGCAATTGCAACCAATCTTATATGGTTTGCTTCGCACGCTGCTAACTTAAGTCCATTGCAAATACACAAAATTCTAAGAATTCAAAACAATCATTCAAATCCGTATAACAATTTTTTTTTTTTTTAAAAATTGCATCTTTTTAGTAAATACTTAGTCATTAAAATAAATTTTAATTCAAATAAATGACATGTAATTGGTTAAACCTATTAGAAATGTCCTATAGTATAATTCGTGACATAAATTAAAACTCGTCAAATAAATTCGTAATATATAAATTCGTGAAAAAAAAGCGCTTTCGACAAAATACTAAAATAGAGATCTATCGACAAAGACTACTCACTTCTGCCTAGCTTAATAGCATGAGATTGCCGCAGCTGATGCTCTCTGGTTATTTCAGTTTCCGTTTTTAAAAGTGCTATATGTTGAGCCAACTCAGCAAGGTTTGGCATGTGACATTTTTAGCGGCAATCATTGGTCGATTTTCTAGCGTTGCCATTCGGGGAGTTGTAATGAGACTTTTTTTTGTCGCCGTGTAAGAGAAATATATATATAGATAATGAGAATAATCTTTAAAAAATTTCTGCATCCAAAAAAAAAAGAAAAAAATGTAGACATTACTATTTAAACACAATTTTCAAATAGTTTAAGAAGAAAAAAAAAGGGGGGGGGACTTTTAAAAATTTTTTCCATTTTTAGAAACTGTCACTAATTATGAAATATAATTAGTGACAAAATGCTCAATTAGGAAATAAAATTCGAGTTCAAACTTGAATGGATCATTCACTATAATATAGAAATTAATAAATCGGATGATTCCAAGTATCTTGAAATAATTTTTTTACATAAATCATATGGAGACATTTTAAAATGAATACATAATAAATTTGCGCTGCTAGTATAAGCATTTTGTTTAGCGATGGTTTTTTAAGTTACGCTATAATCAAATTAAATAGTTTAGAGCACATTCTATTGGAACATACCGAAAATTTGGTGCGTTACATTTAAAATTAATTGAAGTGAAAAAACTATACTTCGTATGAAATGAAACTTATCGGTTTAAAATATATAAGAATAATAAACATAAGTATTTTATCACGTTTTACCTAAAAATTAATATTTGGGACAAATCTTAAAAATGTGAAGTTCCTGAAAAGCTGAAAGTTTTTTAATGCTCTATAACAAAAATAACTTAAAACGATACTAAAATCTTTCAAGAGTTACAAAATGGTTAACTGCGTCTTTAAAAATTATTGCACGCTGTTAATAGAAGATTATTGCAGTTAAAAATAATAAATTGTGAATAAATTAAACTAAACAACTAACAACCACAATTATAAACTATATATTTACTCTTCTCGATTTCACCATAAAAATCATTGGCAATGATCGAAATACTTTTAAAAAATTCATTAAATGGTTTTTAAGATACCAATTACATAAAAGTGATAAATATAGATTTATTTCGTTAAGTTTTTAAAAATCTACATTAAATTANTATATATATACATAATTAGTATAAATTTAGGCTATTCTTATAATATTTCAAAACAGTTGATTGATCTTTTTTATTTCCTTCCATTTCGTCAGATTTTCAGCCAGACTTTCCAGTTTTTTTTCCTCCGCTTTTTGGCAGTTTTTCGGTCCGGTTATGCGGTTTTTATCAAGCGTCCATTAAGAAACAGATTTCTATTAGAAGAAATGCCAACCCTGATTAAAATGCATAGATGTAGTATGCAGATTTAGTTCTAGTCTGTCACAAGAAAGAACGAAAACTATGCAAGAAAGTTCGAAATCCAAAAAACGAGACGTCGGAGAGCAAGGTCTTGACAACAAAAGCCGGGATTAAGGCCAGCGAAATCCGATACACCACCGACGAAATAACAAAGACATAGCTAGAGAGTGTTGCTCAGATAAAACTTCTTTCATCGGTGCAAGTTGCACAATATCTGAAACGAATCCCTTGTCTCACAGTGACGATTTTTACGGGCCTAAGGAAAAAACAACTCATCCTGAGAGTGAAAAAACTTTCGGATATTCTCCGCTCATTAAAGTATTCATTATTATTCAACTCTGAAAAAAGAAGATAAAAAAATAATGAATGTCTTAATAGATGATACCATAAGCAAAGTTCTTTATACATCATAAGTGCGTATGTTCAATTATATCACCTATTTAATTCATGGGAAATTTTTTTATATTAATAGATGCGAATAAAGTCTAAATTTTAATAATAATATTTGAGTTTTATTTAAGCCTTAAATATTTCCATATCTGATATGATAATCCATAACCTTTTCCTTTTAACAGAACTCAGAAGACAAGGTAACTATTCATTGACGCCTACAAAACATAGGTGGAAAGATGAAAAAATCCTTAAGTAAATGAAACATGAATTTCTGTCTTCTAATGCAAACGATAATCTCTAAACTGATAATTAGTTGAAAGTATAGTTAAATTGCCCACAAGCCGGTAGCAACTAAATTACATCATACTCAACGGACATTATTTGCAAATAACAAAATCAAATAGTAACTAGGTCCAAAGCAAGCAACAAAAAAAAAAAAAAAAAAAAAAAAAAAAAAAGAGAGAGAGAGAGATAAGGAAAAAAAGGGAAAGTATATAGAGTTTAATAGCACAGTATAGAGCACAGTACAGTGAGTATATAGAGTTTAATAGCACAATAGCAAGAGCTGGATTTACTAACAGGCAAAACAGAACAGTAAGGGAGGTATAAAGTAGCACCAACAAGTGAAGCCAACTCGCAACAGTTCGATTGGTGCTCCGTATGAGTCATGGAGTTAAAGGTTCAAGAATTTCGTGACCAATTTCAAGAACTTCAAATCGCTAAATCAAACTTCAAATCACAATTTCATGAACTTTAAATCGCCACCCAAGTTTGAACATTGATTCTTCAAAATGGTAGGTAAAGTACCAAATCAGACAAAAATATTTAAAACAGAAAGAAAAGAACTATATTCAGATCCTGTAGGTAGCTGAAGATTTTGATCTCACCAACCGAATATCTACTTTCTATTAGGAATGAGGTTGTATATTCTTAGCCTTGCGAGTATACAATAGATTCAATAAACAAAATTTAAGAAACCTGATAAAATTTAACTGCAAATTAAAAATATTAGATTTATTTATTTTAATTTGATTTTAAAGCTTATAAGGTTGACAAATTAAAGTCAATTTACCTCAGATTCCTCAACACTAGCAAATGCAAAAACCTTTGCTGTTTACAAAGAAATAATTAATTTTATATTTTCGCAGCAAGGAATTATCCTTAGCACACCTGTAACTGACCTTTCCCCATTCTAACAAATCCCCCTCTCACTAAAAGAGTGATGAAAAATAATTGGTCATTAAAGTGAATATGAGAGAAAAAAGACCATTTCTTAGGAAACAGTCTGGCTCCAGAATTCAAAAGCTCTATATAGGAGACCAAGTAGTTCAAATTCCGATATAAGTTGGAACTGAAATTGATAATTGACGAAATTTTAATGTTCATATGTTTAAATGATTCTGTCCTCGGAAATTGATGACAAATGACTGATTCCACTAACCAGTGATTATACAAATGCCGGGCACTGAAATACCTTAGAGAAGTGAGGTCTTGTGTTTCCTTATCATAGGAAAGAAAACCTGAGAAGTACTACTTTATTAATCCTTAGTAATAAAAAGAAATCAAAAATAGTAAAATACTCAAGACCAGAGACCTATAATAAGAGAGTAAGACCTATATTGCAGTCATTATGCAAGAACTAAGGAATTTTATTCGCATTTAAGAAAATCCTTTTTAAAATACATAAAAATATTTTAATATCATTACAATTTTGCTAAACACGGTTCCCAGCAGATCACCGAAGTCAAGCATCACTGACTGCGGTCAGTGTGCGGGTGGGTGACCACTTGGATCAGCCTGTGTAGGGGCCGAGGGTGTGCGGTATTGGTCCTCGTTAAACTGTTCTACCGCAAAGTGCACGACTTCGCGTGCAGGTCGTCGGGCTACCGAAGCGGAGGTGCCATTCCCCTCTGCAGAGGATCAAAATTGTGATGGCATTTCTTCGGATCATCCTCAGGGATGTTTCCCAGACCGTCGCCAATAGCCCATTGTGCAGCTCTAAAGCGATGTAAATTAACTACAACAACTACAATTTGCTAAATTTAAACAATATGAAACAAGCTAACATATTGTACTTAAACTTAAAATATTAAATCAACAAGAACTTGTAAACATTATAAAAACTAAGCAAAGCCTTACAGAAAAAAAAATCTAAAATACACTTAAAAAGAGTAAAGTATTTTTGTTAGACTTTCTCGCTCCCGTGAAAATGACGGGGTGAGATTTCGCCCACTATTTCTCGCTCCCGTGATATTGACAGACTGGAGTGTTCAGTAGTAACACGCTTATAAGAATAAAACTAATTCATTTCCTTTCCCGGAAAATATTTTATTTCTCATTTTACACACCTGATGGCAGTACCAGGATATTTTTAAGGTAATTGCAGATAGTTAGTTTATTTTAAACTAGTTGCAGCACTAATCAAATACGTAATACAAATACAAAAAAATAGACACTTTAATAACCGTTTTCTTGAAAATTAGTCAATCGTTAAGGGGTTAAAGCAAAACGTTATAAATTATCTGTGCAATTTGAAACTTCTTTAATTAAAGAACTGCTTTGATCTTTAAAAATTGGGCTCACAGAAAAACATACCAATTACCATATTTTCCTACATATATAGCTTAGTATCTGAAACCTATGAAGTTGGGACACTAGTTCTCTCAAATAAATAGTACCAACATTAAATGTGTATAGTTGGTTCCAAAAAGATTTATAATTAATTACCTGATCTTTTAGATAAGTATAAATTTACCCAACAGATCAGGTAAATTTAAGTTAAAACTCAGATGCCGGACAATCCATAGAGGGTCAAGACCTACTGTGTCCATCTCAGTTTTCTTGACCTTGGGCTCAGGGGTGCAGGAGCAGATGCTCCGGTTTGATAGTCAGACGAACACGGAATCCCCAATTTTTTTTATTTTAAGAGCTTATTATTGTTTCATTATTCAATTTTAGTTAAGCATTACATAATATATTTTGAAAAGAAAATTATCTTGGAGTTCAAAATGTGACCGCTATATAAGTAGATCCTCAAATATCACCACAATTTATGGGCTCAAAAAGTTTTAATTAAACACAATAAAATGGAATAAATAACTTTTTTTTGCCATGGTCAATAAATTTATATAAAGTATTCAAAAATGTCCTTTTCTGTTCGAGTTTACAAAACAAATGCTATGAAAATTAACAACTTTCTGAATCACTCAATAATTTGTTTTCAATTTTAGAACACAATGTTAAAAAAAGTAAACTAATATTGAAATTTTATGCTAGAATAAACTTATTTCTAATTCACAGATAATATTTTTTTCTTAAATATAATATTCAATATTCTAAGCTACCTTAATACCTCGAAAAAATAAGGCTACTTGAATTAATCATATTTATCAATATATAATTTTAGCTAGGTGCTTTTAAAATAACAAAACATTAACTCAAGCAGTTATTTTTTACTAAGCATGCAATTGGTGATATAAGTCAATAAATAACTTATAGAATAAAATTAATATAAAATTCTCGATTTTAAAAAAGTTAAACAATGGAAAACTAAATATAACCATGCCAATTGACTGCACATACATATTTTATTAACACGCCACGATAAACATACACAAATACTAGTAGTTTCATATTTTGTTTTAATCAGTTAGGGAAAAAAATATTTTGTAAAAAAAAGGCACAGAAACATGATATTTTCTAAAAAAATTTTAAAACATGGTCATGCTAATTAAAATTTTTCAAACATATTTTAAATTTTTTTTATATTTTGAGTGTAAATGAAATTTATTTAAAACACATTTATTTCATAAGTACATGAAGAAATAGTTCATAATAAAATTTAGTTTTGAATATATAATTCAAGTTTTGCTGCCTTTCCAACAAGCAAACAGTCTCTGATATTAATATGTACAGAGCGAGGAAAAAAAAGAGAAAAAAACGGACCACCCTGAATAAATTTTGAACTAATGATAGGATCTTCCTATTCTAGCAATCAATCTTGAAGGTTCAAAGGGTGACCTCAAATATGTTAACTAGTGCAGACGATATTTTAAGTTACGAAATCAGACACAAAAACTCACTTTCCCTGAATAAACATACCCTTTTTTTTGACGGATTCAGATTTGTGACACCCAAAATATAGGGGGTAGTCACAATCTATGAAATATGGTTAAAATAGTTTGGTGATGAGAGTGGTCAATAGTTTGGACCCCTTAATGTTAATTTAAATTTTTTTGTACTTTGCCATATCACAATTTTTTTTTTATGTGAAGTAAAAAAAATTCACGTACAATTTTGAAATTCATTTAGTCAAAGATAATTCCATGGAAAAACAACTTTTAGTGAGTATTTACTATTTTTTACCAGTTTTTATTCTAATAGTCGAAAAAATTTTGAAGTGCAAGGTATACAATTTTTTACATAATTTTAAAGAATGTATTTTTGCATGGAAAAATATAAATTTGAGCAAAATCGGTCAAATATATCCAGAGAAATGAAATTTTAAAAATAAGACTTTCTCAAAATTCGATTTTTTAGAACCTATAAGCCCAGTTTCGTCTATTTTTCACTAGTTTTTATTCTAATAGTCGAAAAAAATTTGAATTGTAAGGTATACAATTTTTTACATAATTTCAAAGAATGTATTTTTACATGGAAAAACATAAATTTGAGCAAAATCGGTCAAATACTGCTTGAGAAATTAAATCTTAAAAATAAGACTTTTTCAAAATTCGATTTTTTAGAAACTATAAGTCCAGTTTCATTTATATTTTGCACTTTATCATTTAAAATTAAATTCTTTAAAATGATATGAAAAATTATATGCATTATAATTCAAAATTTTTTCCACTATTATTAAATAAAAAAAAATTTATGTATACTAAGAGTTTCATTCCGCATTGGAATTATTTGCACTAATTAATTACCTCCAGATGAGCAAATTTTATAATTGAGTAAAAAAATTTTTTAATTTGCTTAAAAAGTTTTCAACATATGACAAAATATGTAAAAGGTAAAATTAACATGAAAGGCTCCAGACTTTGGATCACTCTCCTGACAGAACTATTTTTCCCAAATTGCGGCTACCCCCTATAAATTTGAGGGCCAGAAATCTGAACTCATCCACACAAAAAAAAGTATGTTTATTCGGAGAAAGTATGTTTATGTGTAATAACTAACATAACTTAAAATATCACCTGCACTAATTAATTAGCATATTTGAGGTCACCCCCTCGAACCATTACGATTAAGTCCTAGAAAATGAAGATTCAATCATTAGATCAAAAGTTATTAAGGGGGGTGCGTTTTTTATTTTGAGCACTGCACAAAACTTGAAGAAATCCCTTTTTCTGAGAAATTTGAAATTTTGTTAAATGCTGCAACATGACTGCGTAAAGTAAAATTGCTAGTAACTTTTTAATCATGCAATACATCAAGGATAATCCTTACGAGAAAAAAAAAGAAAATTATTAAATATTTTCTTCTAAATGTCTTAGATGATTTGCAAAACTAAAAAGTCAAACTATTTTTAGCCTTTCATTTGAATAGTAATCAAACTGATTTTCTTTATAAAAAAATATTACGCTAACATTTTATGCTTTTGAGCATAATATAAGAATAATTTATCATTTTAAATTAGCAAAAAAAATTTTTTAGGAAATGTATACTTTCACAATAACAGCTAAATAAATTTTCTTCCGATTTTTTAAAAGCAATTTATGAGAAATACAGTTGAAGAATTTTAATTTAATTTTAAAGTCTATAAACATATATAGAAGACCAAAGTTTGTTTGCTTTCTCAACATTTTACAGTAACTAATCACACAACCATCTGGGTCTCAACTTTTGACAAATAGTATCATTTTTATTAAAATTAAACTATAATTTAAAAAAAATCTGTTTTAACAAAATAAACTTTCCCCCCAAAATGTTTTTAAATGTAATTTACAAATCAAACACTTTTTAAACCTGGCAATAACACATAAATTTTAAAAATAAAAGTATATTTTTACACACAAAGGCATAGTTGGAGTTTACAACAATCAGGGACAAACTGTGATGTTGCTCTTCCTTCCAATATGATGAAAGGAGATTTAATGGGGCTTTTTGGTACAATTTTAAGTTTCAGGTTATGTAAAAACTGAAATTCACCACACTTAGTTTTGGATTGTTAAATTTTTCATTGAATAAAATTTTGAAATTTTTAATGTCTTTAAAACAATGTAAATCAATAACTTCCTACATAAAAATTCCATTTGGTTTAAAATTTATTGTACGTTAATTTTTGTTTTGATTGTACTTAGATTTGTTTGAGTTTGCTTATGGTCTCTGATTGATTTAATTATGTGCATTTATAAACAAATTATTTGGGTAGTGCATTTTTTATTGAAAACACCACCAATTTGTTAAAAAATTTTCACAAAATCGATGTGCAAAGCAAATTACATTAATAATAGACAACCAATAAAATTTTTAGGTAAATCTGAAATTTTTTTAAAGATGTTATGGAGCCCATAACTAGCGAATGAAACTGGGAATATTTAAAGGGAAAAAACGCTTTATATATTAATTTCTAGCATAAATTTGGAACTCCTCTAATGTTGCACCTGGAAACAGATGTCCCATATTGCCCTGTGCAATACTACGCCAATGCTTGTACAATAATTTGATGTTATCAAAAATAAAATTGCAATATCATGATTAGGTGTTTTAGCACTTTTATTTTGTTCATTAGTAACGTAATCAACAACAAAGCCAAAGTAAAATAATAATTTTTTAATTTTAGAAGTAAAACATCATACAATATAATATACTTACATCAAAACAATGTAGTTGATGATAATCAATAAAGTCTGTAAAATAAAAGCATAATTAATCATTTTAAAAATAAAGATTTTTTCATTATCATCAAAAATAAATATTCAGATCAATCTATTTAAAATAAATAAATTCTTTTTTCTCTCTTATCTTTATTTACTCAAAATAATTTTGAGAAAATAATTAGAGAGGATTTTTTCTTGCCCTAGTCATTATTACCCATGCAAATATAAAATAAGGTTTGTATAAAAAGAAACAAAATTATTCTAAATGAATATTGCACCAAATCTGAGCCTTAATCAAGGCAGCAGTAGGCTCCTGCCAAATACTTAAATTGTCATATAGCAGAAAAATGTTATCACAACATGTTTAAATAGTATTAAACTCTTGTTTTTGTTATATATTAATAAATTTTTAAGGAAAAAAAAGAAAGAATTTAACTATTACTGAAAGTTGATGTCTAATTGCCCTATTAAAAAATAATAATAATAAAATAAAATAATAATAAATAAATGCATGCAATGAAATTTTAAGCATATAAAAGAATTGCAGGGTCTATTAAACAAAAAGATATAAGAAATAAAATTCAGTAAATAAATTTATTATAGTTTGATATAAATTAAAATATACTTACAAAGATAACCTTAACGACATGGATGAAACCAATTGAGCACCATAACAAGAGAATGAACTTCCCCCTTTAAAAGAAAAATACACATTTAAATTTTTCCTGATACTTAATTAGTGATTAAAATAAAAATATTTAAAATTTAACAAAAAAGAATACATTGGGTAAAGAAAAAGTTTTACAAATTGTATTATTAACATGTACTAGTAGCTCAAATATTTAAGGTTAAGCAGATAGACAATCGAAATAAGATAAGTATTCAGACAATATAAAATTCTGCTGAAAATCATTAAAAAATGTTAACACTCTTTATTAAATGATATTGTATGTTAAGTATTCAGGGGTCTGTTTAAGTTTTTCTGATAGGTACCCATTTTGTGAAAATTTAGACATAATTTGTGAAAAATTATAATAAGAAATCAACACAAAAATATGGATTTATCGTTTCTTATGGGATACAAAAATAAAATTTTANGGTACATATTTTGTGAAAATTTAGACGTAATTTGTGAAAAATTAAAAATTATAATAAGAAATCAACACAAAAATATGGATTTATCGTTTCTTATGGGATACAAAAATAAAATTTTAAGAAAAAGTTTTTTGTGAAACTACCATTCTCCTGAAGTTGGATTTGTGAAGGTACCGCTGAACGGTGGCCTGGACAGACCCCTGGTATTATACAGCAGAAAGTTATTATTTATAACGCTAAACTTAAACAATAGAACATGCTTCCTGCTCAAAAAGGTCTTATAAACAAATACTAAAATAAAAGAAAACAGACAAAAGCAGGAAGGACCACTAGGATTCTTCTAGGTTATCAAACCAACATTTACACGAAGGTCAACTTCTTGAAAAAATAAATTTATTTTTGCAATGAACATGAGTCCAAGAGCTAATATTTTGCAACAAGACCAGTGAAAATAACAAATGTTTTACAGGTATCAAAATAAACAACTCCTTTTAGAAAAATCATAACCATTTTTTTAATGAACAATTATTTCATTTACCAAATCAAAGTTGTAATAAAAAACAACAAATCATGTAAAATTGCCTACATAATTACAATTCAAAAGCTATTGACAGCATATAAAATTTTCAAAATTTAGCCTTGATTTTTTTTGTAGGAGAGAGGTAGGCACAAATAGTTCTGCACCAAATATAAACTGTTCAGCAATATGATGAGTCGCAGTTTTAAGCACTTTGTACTTAGGCTACAGAAGAAATAATTTGTTAATAGTTTAAAGATCCTAATTGCATGATTAAAAAATCTCCTAACATAATTTTCAAATAGTCAATGAGATAGAGTAAATAAAACTTAATGTGTTAAGTCAGGAATATATAGCCAATGGCCTGCATGTTAATCTTTGAAGCAAATTTGTTATACCAACAAATTTGTCATAATAAACTTTTATATATACACAGATGGGAAAGATTTCATTTTGCATATCTGTCAGGTATAAAAAATTTAAAATATTTACAATTGAAATTTAAATAAACTAAATTCAGCGACACTACAACCTTTCGAAGGCTAAAGCCTACTCTGCTCATCTCGTTTTCGCAGTGCAGATATTCTGGATAGGTGGTCAGCGGAACGTAGAACCTCCAGTGTTTAGTCCCCAAGCATGCTTTGCACTTATATTATCGAAATATTAAAGAGGTTGAGTTTACCATACCAAATCCGAGGATAGAACTCTGGCATGGGAGTGCAAAATGCTACCATTCAGCAACCTGATTTTATAAAATTTGGAGAACATTTTTATTATTACATCTTTATGTTAATGTTAGCTTATAACATTTTATTTTCTCATTCTTGTGTAAGACTATGCAAAATCAGCTACCATTCAACAACCTGTCTTAATAAAATTTTAGTACAATTGTATGATTATAGCTTTTTGTCAATGCTAGCTTCTAAAGTTTTATTTCCTCATTCTTATGTACGACTATGCAAAATCAGCTACCATTCAACCACCTTGTTTAATAAAATTTAAATACATTTGTATGATTACAGCTTTATGTTAATGTCAGCTTTCAAAATTTTATTTTCTCCTTCCTATTTACAACTATGCAAAATTGGTTCAGCATACTTACTCAAAACAAATAAGAGACAAATTTTTTTAAGTGAATTACGATTGCAGAATTTTTCAAATAAATAACATTTAATTTAGCATGATTAAGAACCTGTAATAATAAAAACCAAAATATATTAACGGCGCATTTGGAATTACGTTAACTTAATTAAATAACTGAAGCCCCAGAAGCAGAAAGTGCCTAAAACTGTGACGTACGTCGCAGAACAAACGAAGTCCTGCAGAACAATTTGTATCCGGAATAAGTGACAGCGTTTTCCTGCGAACCCTTGATCACCTGCCTCTGGTAGTCTTGCAGAACAATCCCCAACCCTAATCTCATACATTCTTCTGTAGATCATATCATAATGACTTGAAGGTTTAAAAGCTTCCCCTCATAATCTTGCAAAACATTTCCTCCCACTTCATTCTTCACCCCTACCTTTTTAGATAAATTTTCTTATGTTTCAATTTTTGACTTAAAAATCTTTGATAAACCACTTTACTCGTTTTGTTTACTTGTTAAATTCAGAGATTTTTAATTTCATAAAGTTTATGACTTTTATATTTTCCATTCCCATTTCAGAAGACATTTGTGAATCGTGAGGACCCACGATTGACAGAATTGTTTCTAAATGACCAAATGTTTTCGATGGAGATGAAGAGGTTGTTGGAACAACAGAACTGCGAATGTTTGTGTTTGCAAATGGTGCAGCATTTGGGCACTTGTCCCTTCGAAACATTCTTAAGGCAGCCCTTATTTTAATGTTCGGACCTTCATATCATAGGCATTTAATTAATAATTCATCATCATTAACAAAATTTTGTACTTCAAAAGTGATTGAAAAAGTAACAAATCAAGAAAAATTACCTTGATTTAAAAAAGAATGTAGTGTATCTGTGTATGAATATTGTATTTTAATAAATGAAAATATATAATTTTAACATAAAGTTGACTTTTTTTCGCTGTGAAATGCTTGCAGAACATTTGTATAAATTAATAAGTCCTGTTGCAGAACATTTGAAAATATTTTGCTTATGGGACTGAAGCCTTATTGCATAGTACAAAAATTATAAATGTAACAGTGCTATCACAAACAAAAAAGTCAAATATTTGCAGACGTTCAACATTCAGAATATACCTATTAAATTAAACAAATCTTAAAGCATGTATGTATAAACAGTTAAATATAGATTTCTTAAAATATCTAAAAATTACATAGCTTAATGCAATATGTAAATATATCTTATGTATTTCATCTAAACCAATGTGGATTATTTAAAACTTGGAAGAATAATTATAAAATATTTACCGTATTCCACAAATTTTCTAATTATTCATATATAAAAGCAAGAATTCTTAGGAAACACAATGACATAAAATAAAAAATTTAGGATGTAAAAAAGTTTGTTATTTAATGTATGAGAATATTTTTTTATTTTAGAAATATTTTTCTTACGATTTTTCGCCTTCAATTACTTACAATTCTAACGCATAACTAAATTCATTTCCGAAAATAATATTTATTTCAGGGTACAACTTAAATCCGTAGAGTAATTTGTCAACATTCCTTTAAATGCCGATAGTTTTGGAATGTATAGCAGGTGGAATGTCAACAAACATGTAAACATTAGAAAAAAATTGGTCACAAATCAATGATTAAAGCATTTTTTAATATAGACTGAAGCTAAAACTCACTTTTGAAATTAACTACATTTTTAAGTGTAGTGAAGAAGAAACTTTATATGAATTGCTATTATTTTATAATAAAAAAATAGATAGTTATGAACTCTAGTTGAACGCTGACGATTTTTTAATTGACAGATTCGCTTCTAAAGTTTAGATGTTTACTTGCTGGCGATATCCATCCTTCCTTAATCGATTAATCGAAAAGCAACTAATTAGGCCTTTTCCGTCAAGCGCAAACAAATTTAAACAATTTAAAAAACAACCAATATTTTAATTTATAGAAACTACAATCAGGAAATGAAGTATTTCGTCTCAATTAACTTAATATCTTTTCGTTTGCAATGATTTGCTAGATATGATTTTTTTTATCAATATAAAGAGAACAAAAACGTCGTATTTCTAACCACTGCATGTCCAATTTACTTTATTTACATACTATGCAATGAAGTTTTAAAGTAGTCAGCTTTGACTTTACTTAATATTTGCAAATAAAACCGCAATCTGAAACAAGCATTAAAAATAATTGCCGAATTTGCAGTGTTTTAACGCCATCTATTGAGGAAATTTATACTGTCAAACGCTTCAAAAAACATACAGAATAGAAACATTAATTCAGAAAAACTTACTACTTTTTGTTTAATTGTGTGAAATAATAACTTGCTTTCTTTCTTAGGGTTCATTTTCTTAGAATAAAGTGGAGAAAATAGGAATTTAGCGATATTATTTTTAAATATATTTCACTTCAGTTACATTTGCTTATAAAAATTAAATTAGTTAAAACTATTAGAAAAATATTAGGTCCTAAGAACAACTGATTTTTTTAAAAAATATTTGTAGAATTACTTTACGTACTATTATTACTTTACATACTATAATTAAATTATCCAGTACAGTTAGCTTTCTGCTATTTCTGAGCTCGGGAAATTTGGTCACCCGGTCGCCACCGGCGACCAATTAATTTTGAATGGTGACTAAGTTTTTAACTTCTTAATTATATTCTGATATATTTTGTAATTCAATATTAATGTTAAAAAAAATCGCTCCTACGATTGATCTTGAGCGATATTTTTTTCCTCACTCTCACCTGTGTTTTCAACAATCATTGAGGAAAAACACTATTTTTTCTTTATCTTCGCTCTGTCACGTATTCCTCAAACTTTCTGATTCCGATTTTGTAATAATATGGTAAATATATATATATATATATATATGATTTAAAAATTTANATATATATATATATATATATATATATACATAGCAACTTAAAAAAATATGTCGAAATAACCAAGAATTACTGCGATATCCTATAGGAAATCAGATGGATTAACGATAAATCGGCACAAAATCTAATTAATTAATTAAAACTTTTAAAAAAATTGAAAAAATAAAAGTTCGAATTTTGGTACTTCTCTTCAGTGCCGAAAAATTGCTTATTGTAAAAGAAATTAAAACGGCATAAAAGTTTTTTTTAAATGGTTAATATTTTCTGTACTTGTAATTAATGAGAATTTGGAAAAAAATCAAGCTTTATTAACAAATTTTACTAAGTTTTCTAACATTTTTTAAATAAACGTACTTATTTTTTTCCACTAACTCTAGTGATTACGCACGTCGTGATAGTTTCGATTTAAAAATATTGAGATTTCAGAAATCCCATTTAGAAATTCATGAGCTAAACAGCTGTAAAAGTTATCAAGAAAAGAAGAAAAAACATCGGCGAGAACGAAATCGGCGCAAATTGAAATCGTCCATCAAAATGCTATTATTTAAGAGCGTGATTCGAAAATTACCTGTCTTTTATTGTCTGATTAAATTTATTGAGATTTCAAAAAACTATACAGAAATCTGTAACACTAATTACTGTTAAACTACACGGATTTACGAGGAAATCAATGCAATGCAAGGTTCATATGAGCGATTCGAGATTCATTTGTCATAACTAAGAAGAATTAAAAATATTGGGATTTTGAAACTAAGTCGAAATCCGTGGAATAGAAATCCATAGTAGATCGACGAAACAGTTTCTCAAAAAACAATATAAATTCACTGCGAAATTGGAGCAAATCAAACGGAAAAATTATTATCCAAATGTGGAATTCAAAATTCACTTGCTGTTACAATGTTCCATTAAAAACATCGCGATTTCAGAAAACAATGTCGAAATCTGTCATAATAATTGTTGAAAAACCATACGGATTTATGATGAAATCAGCGCAAATTCAAGCCAGCCAAAAGACGTTCGCTTAAATGTGCGATTCGAAATTTCCAAGACGCGTTATTTTTGAACTAAAAAAATGGAAAAACGCGTTCCATTCAGTCTTTACTTTAGCAAAATATTAAGAAACATATGTTTTTATTCACAGCAATTGCGTAATTTCTCTGCTAGGTTCGTGATTTTAAAATTTTTATACGAAATTATGTAGCATCCGCACACTCGTAAGTCTTATAGCCCCAATTAATAGTTCGCACCAATTTATAAATTTTCGTAAAAAAAATAAATTAAAAAAAAAACTCTATAAAGGACTTAATCATGCATAATCGAAAATAATACACATATTTAACAGCAAAAACATAATACTTTGAAATTACACATAGCTGTTATCATTTCGAAATTTCTGTCAAAAATTTTATAAAATTTTATGTATGTTGTAATAAGCATCTACTCAACATTCCAAATGTATGCATTTAATTTTTATGTATGGATGTATTCAACAAAATTTAGAGGGAAAAAAAAAAACTAGAAATGAGAAGGGTGCTAATACTTATTTTTACTGGTTACTAGAAATTCGAGTTGATTACTAACATTTTAAAATTCTTATAAATTCTAAAGATTCTATAAATTCTAGAAATTTAAAATTCTAATTTTAAAATTTTTTCTTGGAGCGTTGGTTATATTTGTGTTTGGAATTTTATCAAACCTTTTTTTTTTTTCAAAATTAGAACAATAAAAAACGTCGACAGTAACTTTCGATTTGAACATTCGTTAAACATTTTTGAACTTGTTTTTCTTCTGCTGAAATATGTGTAGTAAAAAAATTTTGGTGCTACGATTAAAAGATATTAAAGAAATTAAAAGCATCGTAAACTAGGATCTCAATTCAACATAAAATTAAAATATATTACAATTTTACAATGTTGAGAATAAATATAATTTCAAAAACTTTTTCGTGCTCATTGTATAAAATTATATAGTTTTTGTACTTCTTAAAAGAGCTCAAAATGATCAGGGGTCTTCCACAAATTTTCATCTGTTCTTTCTGCCCGGTTTTAAGGTAGTGACATTTGCAATATCGCAAAATAAAATTTGTGGAAAACCCCTGATTATTTTGTGCTCAATTTTAAAAAGTTCAAGAGCTACATAGAAAATTGCTCGAAACTTTTTACGATTTTAAGATATTCAAATATGACTTTTTTCAATAGTTACCAAATATGATTCATTACAAAATTATGAAGAAAAAATTTCTTATTTTATAACCGTCGTTGAACAGCAAACCCAATTTTGGGTTTACGACTATTAATGTTCTACTCCATAGCCTTGTAATTTTGAACCAAATCCCGAAGACAAGGGAACTCCTGGATCAAGTATTGGGAGAAATTTGCTTTCGTGGAGAACTTTTCGATGGATCCGCATTTACGTTACATGGAGAGGAAAACACGAAAGCCTCCCACACTTAGCCTGGTTCAAAAGGGACTCAATCCATGATTTGCCTACTGCTGAGAATATTTTACGTCAGCACTGTGATCGGTGCGAGCTGGGTTCGGAATTTGTATCGACTAGCTACAGCTATACGCATAACTTCGTAATCTTGAACTCAACCCAGAAAACAAAAGAAGTCCAGGATGAGCCTTTGGGACCAACTTGCTTCCGTGAAGAAATATTCCTAGGAAGTAACCCGCAATTACGGGTAAATAAAACCACGGAAAGCGACAATAGAACACTGGTTTCGCGTTTGTTGTTAAAATGATTTAAAAAAAAACGCCTTGTGTAAAGAGATTTGGTTGAATGAAATGATGCTCTAAAAATGATCACAAAATGTTTAGCAAGAAAATTATATGACACTATGTTGTGCAAGCCTTGCTATAAATTTACTGTATCCTTGAAGAAAAAAAAATTTTCATGTTAGGATTTGCGAAAAGTTAAGTGAGGATAAAACAAAGACACTATCGAAATTTGCCAAATCACTATTGAGGAGAGCGGGTGTGCCAGTTCGATTCCCGTAAAGACTATTATTAGAAATATTCCTTCAAGTTTCATCTGACAATCAAACAGTATTTGATGGGTTTTTTCCCCATCATGCCCTCCTTAATAGTGATTCGTAAGATCTTGATAAAGCTTTTGTTTTTTCCTAGCTGAAATATTAATTCGATATTTCTAATGTGTATGCTTTTATTTTTTATTTCTTTTTTTCATAATGATTTTAAAAATATATATCAAAGGCAATCACTGCGGAACACCTTTCATAAGCAAATAAATAGTTTAGCATATATCTCCGAGAATGAAATATTAACTGAGCGTCAAATTACCACTGAAATCAACATAAGTAAAGAAAAATGGGGACTCCCGCAATTTTCCCATTAAGTAATAACACTTAATATTCATGCACGTCAAGAGGAAGTAAGAAAAGTTCCGGTTCAAAAAACAAAATGAAAAAGAAAGAAAGAAAAAAAAAATTCCCGCCACATATCAAAGATAACAGGGAAAGGTGCACGCATAATCAAGGTAATAGTCTTAACTAACGAATTTACCGCGCATAAAGCGAAAGCAGCAATGATTCGGTTCCCCCTCCCCCTCCGACAGAATGAAGCTCATAACTTTCATGAGATTGCGAGAGAGCTTCTAATAATCATTGGCGACTTCATTACGTGGTAATTTGGCGATTAAAGACCTGAGCCAGGTATCCGCACAGGTAAATAGTGAATGGTGGGAGGCTAGTGAGAGAGAGGGGAGGAGGGCAGCTGTCTCGGGCCACCTGCTCGCGGTCAACTAGCGGTTCAAGGGCAAATGGCGAAAGAGATCAGCAGATGGGGCAGTGTATTGGATGCAAAATGTAGGCTTCCATGTTACAGCTGGTGTAACTACAATTGTCGCCAATGTGAGATGGGCAACTATATTTACACTTTAATCTCCATCTCTTATTGCCAGATAACTTTCACTGGTTGGCGAGTATTGCTGAGAAAA